GTGCCGCGGGGGGAGGAAGGGAGGGAGGGGGGAACGGGGAGACGTGTGGACACGGAAAGGGAAAAGTATATAGTATAGGCTAGCAGAGAGAGAACAGAGCAGAGAGGAAGGGGAAGAAAGAAGAAGCCCCAATAATGAAGGAGCACGGAAGCAAACTTCCGGCGGAGCAGCCTGCGAAAATTCTCAAGTCCTTGTTGAAAAAGCCTGGCCAATCGAAGGCGAGATCGCAGAAAAACCGTGTGGTCATCAACGAGAAGCTGAACGAGTTTTTCGCCGCTGATTACATAATACTGATAAAGGAGGAATGTTGCGCCGACTACGAGGAGGATTGCGACTGTTGCTGCCAGGAGCACGAACTGATGCGCCTCGGCAACTGTAAGGAATGCCGGGCCGAGTTGAATCTTCATTTCGGCGTCTCGGACAACAATCGATACCACCACGATATAGAGAGGGACGGCGAAATGATACACGAGAACACGTTCAGAGAGGAGGAAAGCTGCGCTCGCGAAGGATTCGAGTGCGTGGAGTTGCATGTGGAGGACGAGGACGAGGACGAGGAATATGAGATCGAGGTGGAAGGAGACGACGAGGAGATGGAAGAGGCGGAGGAAGAGGAAGAGGAAGAATTAGCGGTCGAAGAGGATATTAGAGAGGATGTGGCGAGGAGGAAGGAGGGGCGCGTCGTTGCGCCGCAAAAAGGGCTCCAAGCGCGAAAGAACGTGGACGAGCAAGCAGTGGGCAAAGTGGGAAACTCGGCTGATCTACGAGACAAGGTGGTGGTGAAAAGTCGCGACAGACCGGCCGATGGGCCGAAGGACGTCGACAGCCACAGGCGAATTCCAAGCGAATTCGCTTCGCCGCCATTGACGATCGTATCGTCTACGTTGTCCTCACCCTCGCCGCCTCCTCCGCCGCCGCCGCCGCTACCACCGCCCCCGCCACCTCCACCACCGCCACCGCCGCCGCCGCCACCACCACCTCCTCCGCCGCCGCCGTCACAACCATCATCGATAGAAAGACCATCGCCGTTGCTTTCGAGGCAAGATCATCAACAAGAGACACTGAGCCCACCGGAAGGTTACAAGGATGTTTACTCCAACGGGGAACTTTCCAACGTGGCAGAGTGTTGCTTACGATCGTCGTTGGATTATCTTCGAACGACGGGTGAGTTGCACTCTGATACACATTCGTTCGCCTTGTATCACCTTATCTCATATCTCTTCATTCTTCGAGCGTTGTTTAGCTTAGCGCTAAATGTGCAAGTATAATTATATATTCACGGTGGAATGAATTCTCGCCACAACGAATATTGCGTACCATGGGAAATACAGGTAAAATGTTGCACCTTGCATTCGACGAATCTTTATTTTATTTTATATCAACTAAGTATCTAGCCCTGTCCTGCAATCTTTATACCGCAATATCTTGCGAATGTTGTTCCGATGACACGTCACGTACGGAACAATTCATGGAGAACGTCTCTACTAAATGACTAGTGGCGACTTACCACGAGAAAACGTGCACTGATTATTAGAACTGAAGGCACGAAGAATCTGATCATGCACGATGCATTCGTTCGCTCGAGAGGTTCACGTCCTTTTGAAAAACCAAGTTTTCTCCCTTCATCTCTGCCGCATAAATCCGCCATTTGAATTCTAATAAGCTGTGTTTTCTTCTTTTGTTCCTTCGTTAAAACCCGGCCAAATTTGAATCACAAGGAAACGTTAATTCGAGTCGATGTAAAAGAACAATGTACTTCTCGCGTTCCCACGCCATTCCTCCCCCCCCCCCCATAATGTAAAATGCATAATGATAAATAATACATACCTCTTAACAAGAATAGCGAATAACTTCCTTTTATTTTTTCCCATGCAGACTATTCTCTATTATTTTCACTCGACTCGGGCTCGCTGCTTGAAATTTCACCGGTGTAAACAGAATTTTTATTTCTTCACGTTTACATACCGAAAAAAAACTCTACCGAGCAAATTCTGTGTAACAAAGATGTTCTTAATGCCCGTTCTGTTTAATGACCGTGTGATCGTTGTTGTAATTGGATAATAACCATCTATGCGTTCTAATGAAAAAAGAAAAAAAAAAAGAAAGCAAAGGAAGAGAAAGAAAATTGCTTGTGAAGCCAATACATAAATGTCGATCGCACACTTACGTTCACGTGTACGTGTTCGTGAACGTTAACTATACGGGTCGTCAGCATTCGCCGGAAGTACAGTGTACCGTGACTCCGGTATTTTTCGTGCTATCCAGGGAAAACGAATGTTATGTATCTACATTCTTAACTGAAACTGATCGCCGTCGTACATAAAATATATGTTACGTGCTTGCTTGATTTTCGTGTCAACAGCGCATTCGTACAGACTCGAGTACGCCTCTGCTAGAGATCAGGATCTTGAAGTGACACGAAACACACGTGTACTTGTGTACTTGTGTACTTGTGTACGTGACACGTGGAATGTATATTAAGAAATTAAAGGATCCGTGTTCTTAATATACAGCGTTTCGTTTTCTTCTTTGATATTACTTTTTTCTTTAGCATATCCGAGGCTTTTCAAAAGTACTCTTCCATCTTTCATATATTGTTTTTCGTCTCTTCCTCTTGGATTCGGATTTTTTTAAGTGAGTCGCGTGCCAAGTGTTACTGTCGGAGAAAATTTCAAAAGTGACGGGGCCGGGATTCGAACAATAAATCCTCTCCTTTTCAATAAATTCATTTAACCAGTACGGATTCCTTCTCACATTATATGTAGTCGTACACGTAGTCTATGTGCGTCTATTAATTCAGGGAATGCCTCACATTCGTGGACGATTTCCAGTGTGACAGTCACTTTATCGAATGAACGAAGCGTGCCTCTGTTTGAAAGTCACGCATAGAAAAACAGCGGCATGCTTCTCCCATTGTACCGGTATAGATGCGTTTGACGTGCGTATTGAAACTTCACGCGTTTCACGGCTGTTGACACGTATACATAAGTACACGCAAAGTACGGCTACCTGTATATCGAAAATTAAAGCCAAAAAGAGGCATTTTATTGTCGATAAAAATATCGAATTAACGTTGTAATTTAATTGAAATGAAAAATTAAAGTCCTCCTAACTTCTTATACGATAGATTGAAAGAAATCTTTATTTCTAAATTATGGTCTTATTTAAAATGTTGTCTTGGTAAAATAAAAATTTTTAATATTATGCTCTAACATGAGCTATTTAAATATTTAATATATAAAAAAAGTTAATACTAACGAATATAATGATATATTAATTATTATTATAAATGTTTTATTTATATTTTTTCGGACTCGTGACACATGCACGTAAAATAGGGATCTCTGTGCAAACAACTAATGAGATGGTATCGGCGTGATTTCACAGGTACAGAGGGAGAGTCGCGATGCAACCATGGATTAATAGAAAGTAGCAACGGGAACGTACAAAAACCAGACCAACAACTGCCAGCAAAAGCAACTAACAATGGTACACTGTTGCATTTCTTAATCCATCTTCCTAGTCCATGCAGATACATACGCGCTAAAAGCGTTGA